ATATATATATATATATATATATATATATATATATATATATATATATATATATAATATAAATATATATTATCACTTGATGAATGTCTGTAATCACTATATTGAAGCTAAAATGCACCGACTCTCCCTCTTTAAATGAACTTGCAAATTCCATATACAAAATTACCTCTTAAATAGACAACAAGATACAGTATGAATACAATGAATTCAAATTGTTTGGCCAAAAACTTTGGTTGTCCAATTAACTTGATCAAAAACTTTGCTTGTTTAGTGAGAAGGCCATTACCATCTGTTTCTAGCTTTCCTGTTTATGCAATTCCCCAAGGTTTGGACTAAAATCAAAGTCTTTATACCAGCTCAACCCTTCCAGTCGCAGCATGAGCATGCACAACAAAAAGAGGAGGGAGGCGTGCTTGCAAAAAGGCATCACAGGCAATGGAGTGCAAACAATTATTGTAAGAGGAAAAACACATTAAGTGCCCTAATCTCTTTTGCAAAGTTATCAGTATAAAGCTGTCAGATGTCTTGCTCATGCATCACTGAGAATCAGTGTGATGCAATTTCATTACACTACGAGGGGAGATTGATATTAAAGTATAAGCTCTCCTTAACAGTTTGAAAGTTTTATGTTCCTAAACTAATGATTCCCAAAGAAACTGCAAATGAAAAAGGCTGTCAGATACAAGAAAATATTTAAGAAGAGAGAGAGAAAAAACAAAAAACCTGCTTAACACCATTCTGGCATTAAATTATCGACTTGTACTTTCTAGTATTGTAGTTTAACATAAGATCACTTAAGTAGTTGTTCATTTTCTCGATACTGGGCCAGAATTAATATAGATGGCACTCGATAGGCAATAATTATTCCCTACCACAATCCTGCTTTTCATAATTATAGCTTTGTGGCACACTATAGGCATAATAACAGTGTTTATCGTTGTAACTTTAAGGGATGCACAGGGTAATGTCTGCCCCGTCACCTTGTGATAGGGTCTTCCACAGACACTAGCAGGCTGTGTGACAGTTAAGGAAAAACAACAGCAAGAATGATAATATGGGTCTAAAACAGGCATTTTCAAGTTCTTTCTTTCTGAACATGCAGTTAATGCTCTCCTGAGGTCAGGAGGTCTATTTATGCTGTTTTGCTCTTTATTTTGAATGTTTTAATACCCACTGAGCCTACTTCCAGTTGCTACAATGCAGTATTCAGCAAGAGTATTTTCCTGTGGTGAGAGCAGACAAATATTGGAATGGAATTTTTCTCAATCACAAGCAAAGAGTATCAGGCATTCCCCAGCTTAATAAGTAGACTTGTGAAACACATGGTAGCAAACTTGAAGCATTAAAAATGTATAAGTGCTAATGAAGATTTTCTTATATTCAAAAAGAAAAGAGAGAAGATTGTCTTATATTCAAAAAGAAAAGAGAGAAGATTTAGGCGACTTCACATGAAGCATGGATGGCTACTCAGTTGAGCTCTCAAATTTTAACATACTGTACAACCATCTATCTGATTACAGACAATTTGTGCAAAGTAATAGTGTGAAGTAAGGTGCACACTTCACAGAAGTTTTTAACTCTCTGCAGATGCCTTTTATGGGACCCTTAGTTTAGCTACAAAACAGCACATGGAATGGATTTCTGTGGCCATGTTGCTTCATACAAGTGCAAACCAAGTGCTATGAAAACTGTAGGACATGGTGATGTACAGACTGGCACCAAACGGCTTTGTAGAGGGACAGAGAAGTTAAGGGATGGAAAAAGAAAAACACAACTCCTCTGTGTGTAATCAAAATCACTCTCAGTAATCAAAATAATCTGGTTTGAGACACTGGCCAGACTGCAAGTTACCAAGTGTAGATTTGCTGTGCCCCTCTTTTTTCAGACTGTATATTTGGACCTTTAAATCCACTAAAAGTAACTTTATATAAAGCAGCACAAAACACTTTTTTTTTTTTTTTTGATAATTCTATGCTCCCAAAAGTGTAGAAACATAATCTGGATCACTTGAGTACCAAAATGATTTTGCACCAGTGCACAAAGTGCAGTAACGTGCATACATTAGCAGCCACTGAAAATGACCCTTCCCAGTCGAAAGCCAGCCGAATGGCAGCCCACTTCCTTCCAACTCCCTTCAAAAACCCCTCTAACTTCCAGCCACTGCAGTGACCCCCTCTTGCATCTTTTGTTTAATCTGACTCCACCCTTTCACTGAATTAGAGGGTCTGACCAGCAGATGATGCTTCTCTTTAGAGCTTAATGTCCACAAATCACAACAGAAAGAATATTTCAGTAAAAATATGTTTAAAAGGGAATTTTAGGGGAGCAGCCAAGGGCTCATCAAGTAAAGTGGGGACATTTTGAATGGCTACTTCTGTAAGCACATGGATGAGTGAGTTTGTTTAGGAGAAAGTTGACAAGCTTGTACAGAGCTCTAAGCTTGAACACAATAAAGCACCACTGGAATTAATTATAGTGGATATAGTGATCTAGGCCATCTAGTCCAATGCCAGTTTCAGACATCAAGTGATCCCTTAAAAGAGAGTATTTCAAAACCATATTGAAAGCCTTTCCAAAGGATTACGTGTTGTCCTATCTTTGCATTTTCAGTGACTATAAAGGAGACTGTCATTGTAATCATGGCAATGTAGTGTAACTGGGGAAGCGGCACCTGAAATATCCTGGAATAAATTAAAGTCAACCTGAATTCAATTATTTTATTAGTAATAAAGGTGAAAAGAGTTAATAATAGGAGTCATGTGACTCACCAGAATAGTGGTGATGACAAGGGAACGGTTAGCAAGGGAATCAGTGATGTTCATCCCTTTTCGCTTTGGCACTTCTGTGATGTTAAGACCTCCTGATGCACTCCACTTCCCCACCTGTAGAAGATGAAAAGTGTGCAAGCTAAGTGTTCCATGTCTGTCGGCAAGCTATGACCTCCACAAACTCCCCCGCCAACCATCTCCTGCATTAGTGGCAGGTTGAACACATCTCCTGCAGCATTAGATGATTGGCTGAGTCACCTTTTATCAGCAGGGTAAGGTGATCTGCAAAGTATGGGGTAGTTTGGAATACACACTGAAAGGCAAAATAAAAAAACTGTGCTGAGTAAATTACAGAATGGAAAAAAAAAATTACTGGATATTGATATATCAGAATAAAAAAAGTTCTGTTTGACTGGGATGATGATCAAGAAGGCTTATAAAATACCTAATAAATAACATATTACAAAACATGTTTGCATTTATGCTTTGAGTATTCAGTCTGAGTTATGGTTTCATAAATTAAATGTAACTGTCATTATCAGGAAAATGCATTATTTAAATCTTTTTTCAAATAACTTGAGGAAAACGCAGAAGAAAAAACAACTGCTTCCATTCGGTGAATAATTTTTCTGTACATTTTTTCTCTGCAGAAAGATAAACGAAGCGATCTGAGCAAATCAAAAGAAGTTACACATGCTAGTAGCCTTAAGGCAAATATCTCTGCACATTGTAGAAGCACACTTTGGAACATATCATTAGCACAAATAGTCCTGTGGCTGCCTATAACACTCTCTGTTTGCAAGTCGAGGTTTCCACCAAGCCATCCTCTGTTTCCTCTATTACTACACTCTGAGCTTTTAATATTCACTGGGGTTTGTGCTTGAGGTGAATTCATTTAAGGACGCTCGCCACCCAACACACACAGACACAAGCACACACAAAGCATGAAAAATGCCTGTTAATGTCCTCCCTGGCTAATCCAGAGAGAGGCATATGCTCTAATTTGAAAACCACATTAGTTACAGCTTGTCACACAACCAAAGCAGACTCCAGGAGAGAATTTAAAAATATCAGGATGCTTTCCGCTTAGCAAAACTCCTTCTAATAGTACCCAATTACAATTAGTTCAATTCATTTAACATGATTAGCATGAATTAGTCGATTCAAAAGTTATTTGCTCATGCAAACACACAAAGAGCATTATATTTAATTCACCATCCTGGGCATGCTCCCGTCTACTTAAAGTGACACACTAAGAACCTGTTCATAAACTAAGGCTAATATTCTATTACAAGGGATTAGTTGAGAATAAAAAAAAAGACCATATTTTAGCCGGCTCACCCAGTTAAAGCTGATTTTGTGGATATACAAGGAAGGAATGATAATCCAGCAATCTGCAGTATACAGTGGATCAACTCTAAAATGGCTGAGCATAGGATTTGCTCAATAATAATACGGTATCAAATATTTCTGTTTTCTTCAGTTAAAATGCCTTTATACGGGACAAGGTGTCAGTGAAAAGGAGAGGAATTATTTCAAAGTTCAATTCTGAAGAGTTATAAACTGAAGAGCCTCTGCTATTATACTGTGGAATCCTACGCCTTTAGGAAGTTTTAGAAAAAGACATAATGGGACTTATCCTCATTGGAGTCATTCATACTGTATGAAAGCCATTTAGCCAATAATAGCTGTTGCAGTTGGCCTCCAGTAAAATAAAACATGATTTGTTCTACAATTTCAACTGTGTGGTTGTTTTTCCTTTTTTTCTGTCAAATGTGCTTATTTTGTATATTACCAACAAATACTTTGTTTAAGCATCACTTTAAATAGCACTCAGCAATGTTGTGTTTAATACCCAAAAGTGTACCCCAAACCAATTTACTACATGGTCGACTAATTTATGTCCTTTAGACAAAAGGCAGCTTTCTTCCTTTTATGAAGCCAAATAAAAAAAATAAATAAATAAAAAAAAAACATTATCAAACATAGAATCCTAACATAAGTAATTTAGACAAACTGCAGGCCATTTATTATAGTAGAATACTATAGTATAGTATAGCTTAAAACCAAAATTGATAACTCATATATCCTTGCCTATTTTGATTAGGCATCAGGCTTTTTGCTTTCAGAAAAAAAAAAATCATAAAAACTGTATGGGGTAGGTTTTTCAAAATAAATCAAGTGTTTTGGTGATATACATAATGGTCATAATAATTTTCTTAAAGTCATTATATTCTGTTCATAAAGGCCAATTAGGAAAGCTTGTTATATTTGCTTAACTTTGTTGCAATCCTTCAATCGTATATTACATGAGGTCCATCAGCAGAAGACAGTCTGGTAACTTAGAATATATATTTTAATCACAATCAACATCTTTTACAAAGTTTACCTTTTCAAGTCCATCCTCCTTCAGACTGATGATGTCCAGGTCAAAATCTGTGCGAAGGCCAGTTGTTTTGTTGAAGGATAATCTTCCAGTCAAACCATCCCAGTGAGACTGAAACACAACAATGCTGCATATTGAGAAAAACATTTCAAATATAATCAACCATATAGCACGTTTAATTCTTTTTGTATGGAACCTTTACACATCCATCCATTATCCCTATGTTAATCCATCCATCCATCAATACATCCATCCATATATCTATCCATCCATCCACCCATCCATCCAATATACCCACTTAGCTGTGCAGAGTGACAACCATGCACCAGCATCTACGAATGAAGCCAAATTAGTTTACACTCAATTAAGCAGCGGTCATGTTTTTGGACTTTGTGGGGATGCCAAAAGAGCCAAGGCTGGGAATTCAAGGTTTTCTCAATTTGAAAAGTCCTGCAAATTTACCTCACATGACATGATGTTATTACCTTCATTTTATTTTTATATTCTTAATCTGACAACCAAAATGGAATAAATAAAATTATATGTTCTGCCCAGAAAACTGCCCTAAACTACATTTTATCTTTCTGTTGAAATAAATTCCCACCCACACATACACAGACCAAAAGCACAAAGACAAACTGCACAAGCTGCATTTCCTTTTTTTTTTAATTACATTTTACATCCCAACGCCTCCAACACATTTTCCCTCCAGACTACGGAGTTAATTAGCAACCATCTTCTTTTGCTTGATTCCTCGTGAAGGGGAAAACACAACTGCCCCCTATTATGATTGCTTGATAACTGCACCCACCAGAAACAACTGCAAGTCCAAACAACAATTTGTTCTACTTACCTGTTCTTATCTAGCCATTTGCAATCTAATATGACTAGCAGATGATAGCCAATTTAAAATTCTTAAACAAAAATGTGATAAATGTACTTTTCTGTATATATATATATATATATATATATAAAAAAAAAAAGAAACAGGCATCAATGTCACTCACATCCAGCCATAGTCTCTGATGTGCACACTGGATATTTAAAAGTTCTTCAAACAGTTATTGAGTCAACCTATCTAAGTCAACCCTTTGCACTTTACTAATATTTAAAAACCCATAGTGTGAGAACCTCCATCAGCTCTCTGTCCAGGCTGCATCTTGCCAGAACCTGTTGTGTAAAGATCGAACCTTCAAGGAGAAATCTGTTACACTCTATTTTTCAAAACCCTCCCATACCTCATTCCCTCTGGCATATTGCCATCGAGGTGGGAGGCATGTTCAAACAGCTTTAATCCAGAGAATGACATATACTATGCCTCAGCCGTATCACATCCTGAGGGCCAATTCAACCTTCAGAACATGTCAGACTCTGATCTTGAAGCAAGTGTAAATTAGCACCGAGTTAAAGTTTTATTACCAAACACAATTTTTTTAAAACACTTTTCTGCCTTCATTAGAATTAGGTGTATATACTGTAAGAGAACGTTTGCTTAGAATTTCCAGCAGTAATTTGATGATTGCTTGTTTGACTTTATGATATTTTATGAACAGATAAATGCCAGACACTGTTTGTTGTACGATCATGTAAATATTATGTAACTAATATATTTCTGGCTCATAATCTGGCAAAAAAAAAGTGAATTGCTTCTACAACTTTAGACTATTATCATTTATTAAATTAAATCATGCATTTCACAACATGTATGCCTAACTATACAGACTTATTTAAATATGTGACATATAGGATACTATCCTGCTGGTCTTGATTTACAAATATTCTTCTACACTTTTACCACATCATTTGCTACAGGTATCGCCTCCATCTCAGTAGATTTGTTCTAATAATGGAGCTCTTTCATATTGTCATTTACAATTGAAATATACTTATATAAGAGATCACTAATTCTATTCCAGATAGAGAACTGCTCTGAGAAGTGGTATGACTATTTCTATGTAGGAAGCATGAGGAATCCTCATATCCTAAGTGCAAACTATAGTGGGCTGTTGTCTGAGCACCCAGGCAGTGTTAAGTTTAGTGGAACAATTTTTTATTTGCAAAATTTATTTTTTAGTCATGTTTGTTTTTTGAAGGACAGACAAATCTGACAAAAAAAATCAAGAAAATCTGGATTATCATAACGCTAAGCAAACTATTGCAGTCTCCTTTTTTATTCCATGGGAGAATACATATTTTGCAAAGCTCTTGCCTGTTTCCCTATCCCTGAGTCATGAACTGAACCTAATATTCCATAAAGTATTTGCAAAAATCAGTTTAGTATGTCTCTATGAATCTGCAAAGGTATGTTGCTTTAGCACGCAATATGAGATATCAGTGTGCACACTTAAAAACACCTTGAAAGCTGTGGTGAAGTGCACCAGAAGCACAACTACCATCCTGACAGGTTTCTTTTAGGGTGATTCATAGACCTGAGGAAAATTTTGAATGTGTGCAAAGGGACTGTTATCTTTGCTTGAGAACAGAGGGTGGATGAAAAGCAGAAATGACTCGAATCAGCCCACCTTAGGTATCTTTGCAGGTCAGACACAAATGGTACTTTGCTTCAAATTCACTGAAGCGAGCAGAGGATTTGGGCTATGCCAATTTCAAGCACTGTATTGCTTGAATGTATGTGAAGATATTGAGCTAGGGGTTCCATATAGAAAGATCAGGCTCATCTTTGTCAAATATAACCCCTGGTAAAAGGAAATACTTGGAAGATCCACAAGCTAGATCCAAAAAAGTATTCACTTCACCTATGCTACCTCAAAGCTGGAGGAGCCAGAAAAGGTTTTAGCCTTGATCCCGGTCACGATTACCACTGTCCTAATCATCAACACAGGCTATTGTTTACCTATTTTAACCTATTATTTATTAGTCTAATATGAAGTCATCTAACCAAAGTTAGATGTGATGTACTAAGTCTGTTTTAATGCATAAAGTTTTTATTTTTATTTTAGACAGATTTAAAAAGAAAAAACACAAACAATTATCTGGCCAAGAGATTTATCAAGGGATAAACTGAAGGCCTGAGCTTTCTTCTGTTCAGATTGAGCTGAGGTGACTGGTGACTAACTAGCCAGTCAGTCATTTAAAACATTTGATCTTTTTTTTTTTTTTATGCAAGAAAATACTAATCAGAGGAACGTCTGACAGCAAGTCATGTTCATGAATATCAATTACTGTAGTTCTCTGATAAAAAATAAAGGTTAAATAAAATTAATTGAAAAGAAATAAAAGCAAAACTTTTCAGAGTTAACACCATTACTGAGTGAAGACCTTTTGTTAGCTGATTTCAGAGTCAGTAAATTATTAAAATAATGCAAGCACATAGTTATAAGCAGGTACTTAAAAGTAAAATTTCATTTCTACAACATGTTGAGATAATATCTCAACATATCAGTGTTGTATTCTGTCTTTTAATTAGCAAAATGAGACTTTAAGCAGGCTAAATAGAATGCAGCCAAAACTTCTCTGTTTTATGACTTTCTACCTATATATATCACTGCAACTAGGTGGATATACTAGCAGCCTTTCAAAAACACCTTACATTCTATCCATTCAGTTTTGAAATAAGAAAAAAAAAGTCTTACAGCAACAGCTTTATCACACAGCAAAATAGACATTAATACTTTCCTAGCAATGTTCATTTCTGATCAACCATAGCAGTGACGATTAAATAAAAGTAGTTTGAATAAAACTCTAATTCTTAATGTGGGTGAAGGTTGCACAGGGAGGAAAAAGCAGAAATAGAATGCACTGTCATCACAATGTTCACTGCAACGGTAAATGGAAAGGACAAGGTAAAAAGAAACACACTTGTTAAAAACGGTTTGAAAATGCAAGGTGAGAAAAAATGGAAATAAAAAAAGGGAATTACATATTTAAATGTCTGAGAGAGAAAGCTTTTTATAATCTGATTGTTTAATTGTGGTTTTAAAATCTGCATTTTAAAGTGGGATATGAAAATACATGTTTTAAATTACATTTAATAATAAATTATTGAATAATGAGAAGTCTTGGCTGTATTCTATTCAGGCATCCTGTCAACTGTTTAAAGTCCTTTATCTAGTAATGAATTACAAAATACAATTTCTAACCCTTCAAAAACTAAACTGAAATGGTTGTATTTCTTTTTACGTAATTCTCGTGGTATTCCGTATAAACCAACTCCATCCCAGTAAAGTCTGAGGTAGAGCTCTACAGCTAACAGCCCCTGCAATGCTGGTGGAAAATTGTGAGAACATGTTTTGCATCAAACCCTGCGGAAGTACAGAAAATTGCTCTGGCAGGTTGTGTTTGGTATGAACAACTCTGCTCTGTGACAATTTCAGAATCAAATAAGAAAAATGACAGCATAGAAAATACATTTTGAGAAAAAAAAATTCCATTTGACTTTAAATAAGGAGAATTCCTACAATGTATGAAATCCTTACAAAGGAATATTTTGTTTGAAAACTTGCAATGCAAATTTCTAATCTACAATTTTTCTAAGACTGTAGATTTTCCGAGACACTGAATATGTTATAAGGTAGTCATGCAATATGTGCGTCCGACAGACTATATTGATCTTTTTTTCTGATGAATTAAGTTATGAATAATGGTAAATTAAAAACTGACAAAAAGCCACTTTGTTGTGTGTATCAAGATTAGTTTCTCTTGCCATGCGAGTTTGAGTGATCAAGATTAAGATCTAAATAGGATAACACCACCAAGCTTGCACTTTCATTCTCTGGTTCACCACTTAGTTTCTTTCATGATCAACAACTGCAAAGGAAAACATCTGGCCAAAGGTGACCCATCACCTCTTTAATGAAACTCATGAAGCGTCCTCCGAATCTCCAGGGCTTGTGTCGGTGGCACTGCAGTGAGTTCACAGTCATCTGTGGAGCGTGCTGGTATGAGACGGATACAATGTGAACTGCATCATAGGTCAGAGCTGCATCTGTCTGGAATAAGGGGTGAACGTTATTTAAGCTGGTGGATTTAAAAAATCTTAATCACACAGATAAGACATTAAAAATAGGTTTCAACACAGACACTACCAAGGGTGTAAGTTAGCAGATTGTTCAAAGGCACGTTTATTAAACTGCATGATATATTTTACCTGTTTAAAATTTAAAGAGGGGACTAACATTAATTGCTTTTTATTAGCTACTTGGGGCAGCAGTGCTGCTTCTAGACTGCTGCCAGTAAAGAGGTATAATAAAGAGGTACCACATAATTGAATCTTAAGATTATTAAATATACTTACATTGAATTTATACCTCAAATATTAGCATTTTCTGATAGCTTTTTACAAAATCTAAAATATTTTGGAGGGATACAGTTAGGCGAATGACAATTATGTCCCTAGTTGTCAGCATCATGATGTCATTAGCAACAGCAATCTGTATGTACAGATGCATTGAATATAATTGTATTTGCATTTTTATTTACAGTTTGTTGTTTGTTTTACACTTACACTTACATACTTTTACATTTCTTTGACAGGAGTACTGTTTGATTTTCTTTTACATTGTAAGGTATAGCAATCATATTCCTTAACTAAGGAACTGAGTCTGTGCATTCAACTTTTTTGTTATAGACAAATAAAGAAATAAAAAAGCAAAAAACTGGCTTGCAAATGGCTTGTAAACATTTCAAAAGCCTGTTTTAAGAAAACTTCTGTTTACAACCCCAGAAATATGAGACTGATTATACATGGTATGCTCTAACACATGGCAAATGTAATATGAAACTTAAAATTATAACTGATTCAGGGAGCAATGTTGTCAATGCTGCAACTGTTACTGCTTCTCTTTTCTGTGTTTGTTTTTGTTGTTAGATACCAGCAGTCAGTGTTGCACATAGGATCTTGCAGGTTGGATGTCAACCTCTGCTGTAGACTATTTGAAGACTAATTATTCAAATAATAGAGAATCAGCATCTTTTACATAAATTACAAATAATTTAAACATTCAAATCTGAAGCATATTGTGTCTGTCTCACCTGATGATAGTGTGGTGTTTTGTTTTCTTTATACTGCTCAACCAATATAAAAAAAAATACCTTCTGTGCTATACCTAAATGTAATATAAGCAACATTGTCTGCAACATTGTCTCCCTAAACACATTATCATAAGCTACCTATTGTGACACAAAAATATACATCAGTCCACTAGTAAGGATACAGTTACTATCCAACCCAACCTAGACAGAAATATTACGAGTTCAGGTAGAACTTTTCTTTTCTGCAGTTGTCCATTTCAATAATCTTTTTTTATTTTGTAATCAGTATTTATTTATATGTTTGATCAATTTAAGTTTTTTTTTTTTACTGAAAACCACAAAAATGTTTCATAGTCTCCATATTACAATCAAAACATACAATAGTACAATTATTGCCCATTTGAATAGATAATAGAAAATGTGTGTACTTCAAAAAGCATTTACAGTATTGTCTATATAATGATTCATTAACTTAGGAGATGTCAGTTTAGTAATTTAACTTTCACAACTTCATACCCTTTTTTTAGACAATCACTAAATTCTACATATACATTATGTTTATAATTAATTATGTATTTTAGTATTTGTTAAATTTGTGATTTTATTGTATTGTCTGAAAAAAAAATGTACTTATTAAAGCTGACTTTAAAACTGAAGAAGTAAAAAATCTATATTTATACCGTCATGATGCCCTCCAGGAGGCCTGAATCCGGTTTAGGTGGGATCTGCCTTTCCATTGACCATTTCTCCACAATCGACGCAACCTGGGGATTATCCACATTGAGGATGCGAAAGCCAGTCATGTTGACACCACAGAAGCGATATGGCTCAAGGTCAATGGCCATCAGGTCCTTTTGAGAAAAAGAAATTAAAGATCTTTATCTAGTCAGATACCACTTGTGTTGGATGTATATATTCTGTATTATTTGTTGCAGGAGAAATAGATTTAGACAGCATCAAATTAAAATTAAGAAATAACTATTTATGATGGAAAAGAAATATAGAAACCTTTTATTTTAAATCGCATCTGAGAGAGCATAAGGGTTAGTGTGCTCACATTCTCATAAAAGATGATGTTGTCTTTCTGTCTATAAAAATAATTGCTATGCAATAAGCATCTCATGCAATTTGCCTTTTTTTAATCAAAGTTTTGAAAGAAACAAAGGACTGTGGTTTTTTTAGGGGTGGCATATTATTAATTATTTGCTTTAGTTTGAAAAATTAAAGAAAAAGAGCAAACAATGCTTTTTGTTTGATATTAATATTCAGCTCTTGCATTGCCTTTGCATGTTCTATGATAATAAAAAGGAATTTAGAATAAGCCTTTCCTATTTCTGGGGCAGCTATTGTCGCTGACGTGTGAATTCGCATGTTGACACATGTCGTGTAAAATTGGGCCGGGGGGCAAGGAAAAGACATTTGGATGAACATAGATATTTCATTAGCACCCTGTAGGGTTAGTGCTGGGGGACTAAGAGCATGTAAGACATTCACTCAAGAACGGTCATTTTACCCTCTGATAAAGCTCTCTTTTTCCTTTGTCTGGAATGCAGTTCAGTTTTTCCTAACTTTAAAAAAGAATCCATGCAAATTACTGCAGCTGCAAGCACTAGAAATATAAATATGAAGTTAAAATGTTAGCTTAATATTTCTGTCTTTAATTTAAAAATTAGGACAATACAATAATATAAAATAAAAAAAAAGCTTACACTCTTCTGTATTAGGAGAGCAATTCTGCATTATTACAGCAAATGAACATGAAATAAGTTTTCCTAAACAGACTTAAAAACTGAACATGACTGAACATACCATTTTTGAAATAGAAATTACGATGCATTGCAAACTACCACACAAACCCTCTAACACTCATTGAAATCAGGAGGGGAGAATATTATGGTTTGGGGCTGTTTTTCAGTACATGGTATTCATTTGATGTATATAGAGCAGGCGATGACCTACTTTATTTCAAGTAAGATATAAAGGAATAAAAAGAAGAACAGATTGCATAGAGGAGAATACCAGAATCTTCTAGAATAAAATACATTTTGCATGTAAAGTTTGATTACATTTACACCTGGGAAAGGGAAAACATACATTTTTTCACAAATATTAATATTAGAGTATTAATAGATTTCAGAAAGCATGATCAATCCCCATTCAGACTGTCATTAAGGTCTACCACAATTAATTTATCTTAGGATATAAGTTGCTTAGATTTTTTAGCAAGCATGGATAACTGAAATACTGTAGATACCAACATCTGGTGTTAATGTCTTCATCTATTGAACTATTAAAATTATATTTAGGAAGAAAATGGTGTGACCATAATATAAATTATTTTTACATAAAAAGCCAGAAAAAAAAAAAGAAAAAACACTTTCACTGCAGAAGTCCACACACACACACACACACACACACACAAACACACACACACACACACACACACACCACAAACTTAATATTATCCTAGATTTGACTAAAACAAAAAGGATTCTGAAGGTTAAGATGCTGCAGATTTTTGAGTGTATGCAAACGTGCTACAGTAAGGAGAATGATAACTAAGTCCTTTGTTTAAAGCTCTATAAGATCGCTGTGGCAAGGCAGAAGCTATGACAGTCTCATTTCAGAGGACAAGGAAGTTATTACCCCCATAACTGTGAGCTTTTGCCTTTTCACGCTCTAATAAGTCGACACTTCTCTCACCTCTGAAGATGAAACATAGACATCAGTAAATTCCACGGAGAGGCAATTGTATTGCCATGTACTCCATGCAAGTATTCATTACTCTGGATCAAATACTGTTGCCATAATCTTCTTATTGCAATATCTACCAGTATGACAACAATATTGCAGTTTTAGTTAGGTACAAAACTGATTCTATCAATATATCCATGAAAAATACTGTTGCAAAAAAAAAGAATTAAACGAAAGATAATAAATGAGCTGTAATGCTGCTGAACATACAGCAAACATTTTTCCGATTAGCATATTGAAGCAAAATAGATGCTACTTGAACATGACATACAGCATAACAAAGTCATTGGTACGCTGTCAGCTGTGAGAAATGACACACATCATAACTGGACCCCTGTGTCAGAACGTGTTATTACAACAGAATGGCCATGCCTGCAGAGACAGTGAGGGTGAGCATTCAAGAGAGTCAGGAGACAAAGACAGTAACCGGGGGTGAAAGAAACAGCACAGAGCATGCTGGTACGCATTCCCTTCAATCTGCTTGTTCCCAGATATGAAGGGTAATAGTGAAAACAAACACACTTCAGACTCTTATACTGAGCCCCTGTAGATTAAAAATGATAAAAGATGAGAAGGTCACTGTTATAAAGACCATTTTAAGTTGTTTGCATCATCAAAAATAAAGTATTGAATAAAAAACTTGCTAAGCTTTGGGTTGATCTGTAATCATTTTTATATTAAAGACTATGGTGCTAGCTGTCAGATAAAGCAAGTCTTTGTAGATAAATATTTATAGAGAGTGTGCATCTACTTCAGTTTTGTTTTAATAGATCCCAGGGCAGCCTTTTATACATTTCATCATAATTACAGGTAGTTACGACTTAACTACACTAAGTGAATTTCTTCTTTGTGAGATCAATAAATTCCTGTCTTATCTTTTTACTTTTACTGAAATAATATTACCACTCTTACATGAGTCCGAGTAACTTCAATATAAAGAACAAATGTGCTTTAACAAATAAATGAACATACACACATATTATGTAAAAGAGATTTTTTTTGTACACAAGCTTCATTAATCTAATGGTATTTTCAATTTGTTCGATCCGCTTTACCTTTAGGAAGTCAAATAAAAATACAGAAGAAATATATTATTATAGATTTTTTCAGACTTTAAGATGACAGATTTTTTTAACATAATTTCAAAGCTTCATCTGTCTGCTTAAATGTGTACCTAAAGAAAGATATTTGAAAGATATTTGACCATACATGTATCCCTCGTGGTGCTCTGTGTGGGGAGTTCCAGGAGTGAGGACTCAGGGGCCCTTTAATAGGGGGCATCCAGGCTTTATACCAGGGAGCAAGAGTTTGATATGCACTGCTCCCAGTGCATGTAGATCCTGACCTTGATAAACTAATTGATAGACTGAAAATGTTTGTGGGGTTGTCTGGTACTGTGTCTTATAGGTTCAAACACAGGGAACCCAGTTTTAACATGTCCCATTAAACAAAACACATCAGGTGAATTTATGATGTTTGGTTCCTTAAAGGCTAAAATTTTGTTTTAATGTTATTAAAAATCTCTATTCTTCCTTACAAAGTGTTTGCTAATTCACAACTGTATTATTCCTGACTATGATCACGACAGCTTATGTTGACGTATTGACATGTGTTTCCCAACCCTTTTTGACTTGTGTAGCCCTTTTGGTAATTTTTTCATACCATAAGTACCCCTCTCAGTCAAAAGTAATAATGATTGTCCAAAAGTGGAACATACAGTAATTGATTATAAAATAAAAAAAATAAAAAAACACTTTACTTAATCTTTTAAATTGTACATTTAATTTGTAGGAATTTAATGTTTCCATGTTGGGAATAACTGATCTTCAACCTCAGTTTTTTTCTGGTTAAGACATCTACTGTAGCATAACATTTTAAAATGTTATATTATGACACAGGTAATTTTGTGCAAACCAAAAAAACCTTGTAATCCATATAAGGAAATATACAAGTCATATTCACTCAGTTTCCATGTTTAGCCTCAGATTAAAAATACATATTTGTAGTCTCCCCTGTAAATAATGCATGCATTGTTGTGAGCATTTATTTCACATTTCAATACATTTTACTTTTTTAATCTTGAATTTTTGTTATTCAACTTGTTTTCATTTCCTGAAATAATATATCTCTGAGTGCCACAAGAAATTCTTAATCTGGGTCCTTTGTTTTGGGATATTTCAAAGACAGCCACATGAAGCAGTGTTTACCATTGGAAAACCTGGGACTCCTATATGCCGCCTGATTGTCAAACAAAATTGATGTTATGGACTGGTTCCAAACTCCTTTGGCAATTAGCCACTATTCATCAAAAGCTCGAGCACAGAAGAGATGAGAACAAACGAGACTATTTGCATTAACAAGCATGGTGCATTACCAGAGTGGTGAAGATATAGTGGTAATACTCTGTCATCATCCCCATGGTCTGGGCCTGGAAGGATACAGAAAAAAAGAATGGGAATTAAAGGTGTAAATGAAGAGAGCTAGGGTGAAGAAATTGATAATTTTCTCACTTGAGAGTATTTAAGACTCCAAACAGCATCTTCAAAACAAGCAGTTGCACATATATCTTTAAAAAGACTCATCAATAACAGAGAAATTTCTCATGGTTTATTGAGTTTATGAATTTACATTATATTGTTTTCTAAGATCTGCTACCACTTGCTTATTTTTCTAAACCATATGCAATCTACATATTTTTCAAGTACTTGAATGGTTTTTGGCATTTCATGAAAAAAAATCCTTCAGTCAAAAGAGCACAGTAATATTCACAATATATCCAAACACTTTATCACCGCAACTTGTTTAACTGGTTCTACATTGAAAGGCAATGCATTCCCATGGTGACTGTGCTTTCCAGTTAACTGTACCATCTGTTGTGAAAAAAATCAAAACCCAAGGTTATTTAAACACGATGTTAGGTCCCTGTGGAGAAGTTCTACCTTCTTAGCCAAAGACATCAGGACAAATAGGAAGCTTTTGACATTGAGTGACATAGAAACTTTATTTTTTAAGAACCTAATGAAGAGACATTAGAATTGCAGCAAACTATTTAATTATAATAATAACTTTACTAAGACAAGCCTTCAAACATTCTTCTCTCTGTTATATAGATTATTTTCTGTTTCAACCTCTGAAAAAGAATAACATTTAATAAAAACTTGTTGAGTCTGTTGAGTCAGAATGTTTTTCTTTTTTTTTTAAACAACCTTTCATCAAGAGCCTCTCAGTTAACCATTATGGCATACAGTACTACAGGAAAAAAATCCAAGGGAATAACACAATGGCAAAGCGACAATTTTTAGAGCCTTTGAAAGAAATTTGACTTCTCAGCAATAGATAATATATTTATATTTGAGGTTTATTTTATTACACATGAATAATGTGGCTGGAGACTGTAATGTTAATTTAAAAAATCAACAGATTTTCAACTTCAGTAGCATAACATTTGCATTTCAATAATTGACTTCTGAAAGCTTTTACGGTTTAACTAATTTCACATTCTCCACTTTGTTCTTTTTACTGGCTAATGATTACTGGAACCAAATGGTGAGGGGATGCTCCTGGATACCAAAAATGTGATAAAATTAGAAATGCATATATTTTGTTTCTTCGCTCTTGTTTTATTAAATTATATCAAACTCAAGGGCAAGATTAAAAAACAGGACGTTTAATTGTACAAAGGACCATTCCCATTATTGATTTCCTTTCAACATAATCAGAAAACTTAAACAAAAGCAGCTTTTCTGCCAAAATTCGAGGAATTTAAATAGCTCCAATATTTGCCTGAGTAAAAAGTATTCCTGATAATTGATGTGCTTTCTGTTGCTACTGCTCTGAAATGCCACAGAAAATTAGCTAAAATTTGGCCAAATGACATATGAGAATATGTGATGAAAACTGCAATAGACCTCCACTTTAGCAGGTGGCGCTAATAAGAAACCAAAGGCTCTCAAAGGAGGTCATTAGATCGTCATTATTAGTATGTACTCTTCCTTTGGTTTGTTTTTAATAAAAAAAAATATGATTAAATATGAAATTTGTATAAAATGCTGACCAAAAAAAGAACATTGCACAGGTCTTAAAAAAATGGAGAGTAACCCAAAATCAGAACACTACAAGAAAGGGTCAGCCTCCATCATTGCTCAATATAACCTCTTCCATCAGAGATCCAATGATAATCTGAGAGTCCTACCCTCAGATCAGGAACTTTTATCTAGTACACAGTGTACCCAGAAATTTTAAATTACTTGGCTAAAATCGTGCTCAAATGTGTAAAAAAACTCGTAAAATTCACATTGATGGGTCAAAGTCCCTGACTGGTAAAATAGTTTAAGTTTCATGGCAGAGAAAAAAACTTCCTATTTCAACCTGTAAACCCAGTTATCAGAAAAAATACATTTTTTTTGGTGATGATCCCCTTACAGGTATGGTGTTTTACTGTAATTCTGGTTGTCATTTTTATTTTAAATCTATTTAAACCTGGAGAGAACTCACAACAAGACAAGGATGCAATTAGAGAGCAATTATTGACATGAATGAATATCAATATTTTAGTACTTAAACACAGGTTAAAAAAAAAGCTGAGCATTGCTGATAATGACAAGAATGAGCAGATTTATGAATATGGAGATGCAGTAACATTTTAGCTGGTGATGGAATGGAAGATGAAGGAAAAAAGCTGGATAGAGTCATAGTTAGACTGGAGCGATGAAGGGGAAGGAGCCGGTGTGCAGCTCGGTTAGAAGGCAGATGGCATAAAGATAAGGCAGCTTAGAAAGGACAGTCTTGGATGCTTATTGGCTGTTGCCGAGACATGGAGAGCAAAATACTATTGGCAGACTAAGATCTTTATGACATGGCAGTCAGGAGATGCAGGTAGGGCTCGATAGCCCCCAGATTAAAAAGGGGCCTATGCTCCATTTGATTGCAGTAATAACTAGTCAGATTTATGTTACAAAACATTACAAAACATACAAACATAATAAAAAAAATGTATTTATAGTTTTGATTTAATTTCCTTTGGAATTGATAAAGTATTTTTTTATTGTATTGAATTGAATATATCAAAATATACTCTATCCATTGAAACTGAGATGTATTGGTAACATTTTTGTATATATTCACTACTCCATTAGTTAGATGCTCTTGCCAAAAGGAATCATAAAGATCCCTTTTCCTCACTCTTTTCCCAGCTAACTTTGTTTTTCAATTGTTTCTTACTTGAACTTATAACTTTATGTTGCCTCAGTTTTGTTTTGTTTTCCTCTTCATGATAGCTGCCTCTTGGTCTAGTGCTCTCTTTAGCTGTGACAACATCCCGGGGGGGCACATAAGTTAGACTGCTGCTGTCAACAAGTTTATGTTATGGATGATACAGGTGGCCCTTTCTTTTTGTGTTTATCTCAGTTTTTCGCCAAGAAATAGCTATTGGTGGAGCTTTTACTCTCACTAGCTGTGTGTGCTCTCTTTTCATCTTCTTTGCCTAAAACTGGCTCAAAGCCTAACTGTGTTTCTGTCCTTCACAAAGCTACATAGTTCACCATTACTGCATCTAACAAACAAAATATTCATGGATCAATATTTGTTTGTTCATTTTGTGTGTATACACTTGTCTTCTCAAATCGAAAGTTGTAGGTGGCATAATTGGCTGAGTTTTTCTCTCCACTGTCGCTATGTGTTTTCAAGTATCTTTTTAAAACACCATTCAGTTGCATCACATAGCATTTCATTGCAAGCCTCATTCTGTTGGACTATTTTTCTTATTAAAGAGGTTTTACTTTTCATTGTAACCACATGTTTGCTCAGTATGAGAGACTACAGCAAAGTTAACACCATGAGATTGACTTATCATTGGTGATGTTATTCAGGAGAGACTGCTGCAGAGACAGTAAAAGGATGTTCTCAGATACTTTATTTTTTATAGGAACAAAGGATTTTTCACCAATTGGAGGGATCTTAATTGAATGGCTGACTAAATGGCTTGACTGCATGTAAATAACATGATTTTGTAAAAAGGGTGTAACCACAACCATCCTTGTTAGTTGCTGCTATATAGAGATCATGAATTGATTTGAGGCTCTCTGAAACACCTCTTAGGCTCCACTTTGACTATGTTGAGACTTCTAAGGGAGGTTGTTGAACTGAATTTTATTGGAAGGGATTAGAGCTTATTGTGATGCAACAAATACATATCACTCTTCACAGTTTTATTTGTAAAGAACCAATGAAACCATGTATCCTTTGTTTTACTCCACACTATTACACTGATTTATTTAGGTCTTTAAATAAAGTAGGTTGAAGTATTTCAAAAAAAAATAATAAGACATACTCAAAGAGCTGTTGATACTTTTAGTAAGGTAATATATCAGTGCATGCCATCTTGGTTTTATGCCGTATTTAAAGTATTAACAATAGTGCAGTGAACTACAGATCACAGAACTGTCACAGAGTAATAAATGAGAAATTGGTTTGAAATAAATCTACCATAATGTTGCCTGTTTTTCTATTTGACTTGAATTTCTACAATAGTTTAGCCCTCACCTGTTTGAGAATTTGTGCAGCCATGTGGTGACTGCAGTCAAAGATGATTCGGAACTCCCGACTTCTCTTCATCTCCTTTAGAAGAGGCCTTGTATCCTCTGTATCAAGCGGAAGCTGGCGGATCTTTAATCTGATGTTGTATCTTGATGGGGCCATAATCAGCTCCTGCAACCTTATTAGACCTTGAAGAAAAAAGCATAAATAAGGGAATAGGCTTTATTATAATTTACTGGAAAAACAAATGCTTTGAATATGTGTTTGTTTAAAAGTGTGTAAAAATTTGTGGTCTTCTCACCTGTGCTATCGTCATATACAACAGTGGCTGTTTTCCATTTGAGATACTGTACCAGGTCCAGAATGGCATAGCTTAATGATGAGTAATCTGGGTATAGATTGGCATAAAATGAGTCCCTGTTGTCCATAGGGTGATGTTTCCACCGCACCTGAATGTGTGGCACTTCCAGCGCATTGCAGATAGACTGCACAGCATTTGAAGATGAGCTATGTGATGGTCCAAATATTGCGACCACACCTAAAGACAGCTGGTCACAGGCTATCGGGGAAAAAGAAAAATAAAATCTTTAAAAAGAGTGGGTTTGGTCTTTAGCAGTTCAAATAAGAAAAAATCTTATTTAACTTTAATAAAAAAAAGAATAAAGTTAAATCACAGAAAATCAGAATATGATCAATAAATTGTTATATTACGAATACTAAATTATAACCTACATAAGATATATAACAAACAATATTGATTTGTAATGCACAGTTTCTTTGATGTTTTCCACTAAAGAGTTCTTGTCACGAAAAGTTCTGGACTACACAACCATATGGAAAACCATCTACTTGATAGCTGTTTAGTATTTTGTTTATGCATTTGTCAGATATTTTCTCACAAAGTAGCTCGCAAATAAGGATATTACATAGAGGGTAATATTAAGGAATAGTTTGCACCCTATTCAATGAGGGTAAGCCAGGAAGGGTCAGTGTAGAACAATACTTTTGAAATTGCTTGTTCACAACAACAGTTGTGTCAAAACATGTTAATTGACAGTTTAGTGAAAGCAAATATTGATATTTAAAGTTAGAAAAATGTGCATAAGTGACAGGCCTAACAGCTGCATGTTACCAGAAAGTTAAAGGTATAATGGAGGATGTTATTTTTCCAGGTGGATCATCAAAATAAGTGGTCCTCCTAATTGTCAATCATTCTGGTGATATGTTTATGTAAGGCCATCCTACAGTACGTGCTCATCCCCATTTTCACTTAGCGGTGGTTAGTCTGACTTAGTGGAAAATTTACAAGGAGAAATGGGCTTATGCACTGCTCTCACACACTTTTAATAGAAGTTCCCTCTCGGGAGCAGGTACAGGGTTGTGCATGTGCATTTTGTTTTAAAGTGGAAAGGGCGGATCTTTTTAAAAATTTGCAACAATCCTCCACAATACCTTTAAGTGAATGGAAGAAGTTTGGTAGAAAAAAAGTGTCTTAGCAAAATGGAATGGCTACAGGCCTGAAAAGATTCCAAAGTAAAGTCACTTCAAGACTTTTAGAGAGATTTATGAGGCTTGGAGTAATTTATGGGTAAATTCAGTACTTCCAGAGCAACAACACATAGCTTATGCTGGTCCTGAAAAAGAGCAGTTTGATGAAACTTAGACTGGATCATTTAAAAAAAAAAATTTAAACTTTTGCTAAATTTCTCTTTTCAGAGTAAATTATGTTTTACTTGACAATGCAGTAATTAAAGTAAAAGAATCCTAACCGAGTAAAAATATTTTTATTCGTACTCCCCAAGATGCACCTTTGTGTGCAAGAGTAATCTGATTCCTGTAAGGATTTATTTTATTATCATATCAGAATATTTTACTTACCTTTTCTTGATGCCTCAAAGCTGTCATAGATATTTATCCTCTGTATGTCGTATGTTAATGTTGTGTTTGGCAACAAAGTCCTGTTTCTGTTTATATTATTCACAGCAAATTTAAAGGCAAGTTCTTCTGCGCTAACAAGTGAAACAGGTCCGTCTGTTTGTTCGAAAATCCCACCTGAAAAACAAAAGACAAAGACACCCAAGGCAGCCATGAGAACATGCTCTCAAACATAAACACAGGCCAAAAAAGACACACAGGCATAATTTTGGATACTCCAAGAGAGGAAAATATCGGAAGATATTTGCACTTAGGAATAGCAGTGCACATTACATGAGGTATTGAATTTGCTCTGCAAACATTCAGCAACCCTCTCCATTTTCAGGGAATACTAAAAAAGAACCAATATGAGCTTTGAAGTCTGACGCCGTAATGGATTTAAGGAGTGTGTGTGTGTGTTTAAATGTGCTTTTGCTTGCATGTCCACTCCATCAGAGCAGCAGAATATCTTAAGCTCTTGTCTCTCCATTAGGATATCCTTTCATATCACCTGAATACCACATTGGTAGAGCAGATAACTGGACTTCACTACTGTTCTTTTGCATAAAATTCAAAGAAAAGCTTCTTTTTTTTTCCTTTTTAAGATGGTGTGGACTACTGCTCAAAACTTATAAAACATGTCTATATCAACATCAAAGCAAAGTGTTGCTTCAGACGGTGGTGTTTGTCAGACTATCAGCTTGACACCGTACAGAGTATAGATAGAGGGGGAAAACATTTTTTAGCATTTGAAATATTTCTTGGGTTTTCTCTAGCTGATCCATAAATATGGTCAAGTAAAAAAATATATATCTATGCATGTACATAGATTATTTATAAATAAGAAACTACTGCACTATGTATCCAGTTGTCATTGGACTTAATATTATGACCTATTTTCTTTATTTTCTGGGTAGATTGATGATAAACCAAAAACCTTTCGGATTTTTAGATAAATGCTGCTAATCAAGCTACTTGGTAATGCCACAATTTTGAAGAAAACAACAATGTTTTCAGTTTCTCTAGGATATCTTGGACAACCTAATTGTGTGAACGAGGGGTCAGATATAAAAAATCAGTCTCCATCGTCTGTAGATTTTTCTCAGTCGCAAAAAATAATTAAGTTCATAGAGTCACTTCCACCTCTTCCATGGTGCTGAGGCATAATGGACAATCCTTCTCTGTTATCTATTAGAAATACAGATTTAGTCTATTTTTTATTTCTAGAAAGTAATTAAATGGGAAGTCAACCATGGGATGGATAAAGTGGATATGTTATATATTTTAAAATAACAGTGGAGGCTGTCTTGATGCATAAATAAATCCACAAATCTATCATTTATTGCCAAAACACATGTTTTGTAACAGATGATGGAGGGGATTCAGGTATATATACAGGTTTACTAAAGTTTCCTCTATGTGTACAATTACTACATATTGAATACATTATATTTTTGTGACATTTTTGAAACCCAATTTAACGTACTACTCTGTTTAAAACTTAAATATTTGAAGTACAAATACCAGTATGTAATTGGTGAGATAACCAATGTAACATCTTCTGTCAAATAGAAGGCAGCAAAGTCCCCATGTGACTCGGCAACAGACTAAGAAGACAGCTTAGACAGCTTCTAAAAGACGTTTGCAGCAAGATCAGTTTACGGAGAGAGCCTCGCTCCTCAACCTCCACTCTTATCAAATTATCCCTCTCTGTCAGAAAAGAAAATGTCTCTGCTCGTCTTCTATCACCAAAGTTAACTTGAATAAATTTCACTTCACTTCTTATCAGCAACTAAATGTCTGTTCTCAGGTTTACTAATAAGATATTCTTTCAAAACTTTTCCACATGTCAAAGTGTCAGACTATATATAAACATACATACATACATACATACATACATACATACATACATAC